GCTGCGATCTGCGAAGCTGTCGCCGCTCTCGAGGACTGCTGGTGGGTCCAGCGGAGTGAGGCACCGCGCAGACCTGAGGTAGACCCCGCCGTCCCCGGGGGGCTGCGATCTGCGAAACTCTCGCCGCTCTCGAGGGCTGCTGGTGGGTCCAGCGGAGTGAGGCACCGCGCAAACCTGAGCGAAACCTCGCCGTCCTTGAGAAGGCTGCGATCTGCGAAACTGTCGCCACTTTCGAGGGCTGCTGGTGGGCTCGTCACTTTCGAGGGCTGCTGGTGGGTCCAGCGGAGTGAGGCACTGCGCAAACCTGAGCGGGACCTCGCCGTCCCTGGGCGGCCATGTCATGCTGTTGCTGCCCCGCCGACGTTTCAAGCCCCTTGCCCACAGTCTCCTTTTGGACCTTGCGTCTTCCTTAGTGACTCAGGGGTTCACTTAGTTATTCATCGTTTTTCCCTCGATCTGGGACCTGCGAACCTTCCGAATGCCCCTCGCAGAAGTATATGCGTTTATGTCACGTCGCCGCCTTCTCGTCAAATCTCCTAAGCTACTCCTGCCCCGCATTGCGCAGGGGTCGAGTACGTCGCCAGTGTATTTTTTACAGTCATGATGGGAGGGCCCGGATTGACGTCCGCGCGCGATGTGCGCCGCGTCGCATTTCTGCCACGCATTTCGCGACGACAAGACAGGCCATGTTGAGAGGAACAACGGAGGCATGTATTGATTTTTCGAAGTCAGGGTGGGACCCCCCGGATGGGGTTGCGATCGGCCGGACAGAGGGGGGAGTAAGAGCATATTCTAATAAGGAATAAGGATCGGTGTAGGAGTAGGAACAGGAGGTAGCGGAGAAGGAGGAGGAGGAGGAGGAGGAGGAGGAGGAGGAGGAGAAGGAGGACAAGTGTAAACCCAAGAGTCGTCAACGATGTCGGAAGAAACCCTCCCTCCAAGCTCCCTCTTCTTAGGCCCTTGCAATGGTTCGTTTCTACTGTTGGAACTGCTTTGTTGGAAGACAATCGTTTGAAGACCCTGAAGCATGCCAACATGTTTTTCTCGGGACTCCAACGCCACGTATCAACTTGAGTGTTGCGTCTTGGCGATTTTTTGTCGTGTCAGGACGGGATTCCTGGGACTTCAACACGGCGAACCAACGTAAGTGTTGCACCCTCATAATCATATTTTTTCCAGAACGCCACTTCTGGTACGTTGATCATGGGAACCCGTGAAACTCTTGCAAATTCTGAAGACAAATGTGCGCGGCGCTAAGGCGAGTGCTGCATTTTGAAAGGAACCGCCCTCAATCCGTGAAGCTCTCGCAATTTTTAAAATGTAATGTGCGCGAAGCTGAGGCGATAGCCACATTTTGAAAACCACCCGCCCTCAACCTGTGAAGACCTTTCATTTTTTTGCAACGAATGTGTATGGCGCTAAGGCGAGAGTCACATTTTTGAAAAGGAACCGCCCTCAATCCGTGAAGCTCAACGAACGTGCGCGGAACCGAGGCGAGAGTCGCATCTTGAAAACCACCTGCCCTCGACACGTGAAGCTCTCGCAGACTTTTGAAACGAATGTGCGCGGCGCTAAGGCGAGAGCCACATTTGAACACGACCCGCCATCCAATTGTGGAACTGTTGTCAGTTTTTCAACGTAAGGGTCATACATGGTGAGGAAGTCTCAGGCCAAACGCCCGGCCCGCCCTAAAAACAGGCCTCGATGTGCGACAGGGAGAAGTTATTTATCAGGAAAAGGAATGGGGAGGAGGGGGGGAGGAGGAGGAGGAGAAGGAGGAGGAGGAGGAGGAGGAGGAGGAGGAGGAGGAGGAGGATGAGGAAGAAGAGGAGGAGGAGGAGAAGGAGGAGGAGGAGGCGGAGGAGAAGTAGGAGGAGGAGGAGGAGGAGGAGGAGGAGGAGGAGGAGGAGGAGGACGGCCACAGACAATCCTGGGAATATACCTGCAATGGAGGATATAGGATTACCTTCCGCAAGAGCAGTGGCACCTCGGCAGGGAGTCGGCTTCTCCCGCGCCAGGAAGGGGACTCGCTCATCCCTGCCGCTCACTTCCACGTGGGGCTGCGCAAGCGCCTCCGGGCTGCCGTCTGCGCGCCAGGGGCGCTCTGCCAACACCGCAAGCGAGACGGCACCATATGCGGCGTGCCCTTGGACGCGACGGGCTGGCACCCATTGAAGTGCGGCTGCGGGGGCTTCTGCGACCACCGCCACAACAGCCTCCGCGAGTGGAGCGCGCTCTTCCACCAGGCGCAGACCAGCCAAGTGTCGGCCACCGAGAAGCGGTTCCTGGCCAGGGGCCGCGTGGACAGACAGTACCACCGGGTAGTAGCTGGAAGAGACCCGCCTCGAGGTGGCTACCCGCGACGCCGCCACCGGACTTCCTATCTGTGTTGACTGGTCTGTCACCTGCGCACACTCTGACAATCTCGAGCGCAGGTGGGCACGACCTAACAACGATGGGCTGGCTGCGTCGCAGGCGGTGGGCATCAACCCGAATATCC